CTTGAATCTGTGGGTTTATCTTTTTCATCAAATTTGATCATTTTAAGCTAATTTTTATTTCTGTCCCATGTGGGCTCTTAAAAAGTGTTTATTCTCTGTTGTGTGAAAAGATCTATATGTATCTACTGGATCAAGTTTAATTTTAGGATTCAAATCTACATCTTTGCCCTTTTCAGGTTTTGATCTACCCGCTTCTGAAAGGTATATCTTTTTTAAAAAATTATAGTCAGTTTACAATGTTGTGTTAGTTTCCGGTGTACAGGATAGTGATTCAGTACATATATATATATATATATGTACATATTCCTTTTCATGTTTTCATTATAGGCTATTACAAGGTAAGAAAGGTATATCTTAAAATCTCCAACTGAACCTGTTGATCTCTTTCTAGTCTGTGGATAGTCACTTGCTTTATATATTTTGATGCTATATTGTTAGCAACATAGATATCCAAGATCATATCATCATTTGTTACTATGTTACTAGAATTTGTCATCCTTTGCCCCTAAAGGCATGTTCATCTTATAATTGTTTTGCTACTATTAAATTTGTTGGAATAGGTTTTGTTCAATCTACCTGACATATCTTTTTCCATCTTTTACATTTTCAATCTTCAGTACACTTCTGTTTAAGTACATCCTTTGTAGATATTGCTACATCTTTTGAAACGCAACCTGGGAGGATTGTGTAAGCAGGGAATTTCAGTGGCTCTGGAGAACCTGGGGTGGATGAAACAGACAGGGAGACTTTCAGTGAGCCAGCAGTGCAGTTAGAAGTAGAACTATCTCAAGGTGGAGGGGCTTGCAAGAGGAGTTCATAATGGGCTTCCTCAATTTATTTGAATTCAAACGAGTTGATGCCTTAGGAGTTGGGCTTAATCCCAAAAGGCTCACTGTGCGTTCTGAAAGCGCGGCAGTGATCCATGTGGCCAGCTGTGCCCTGCTTCAGTTGGAAAGGGAACAGTCACAGGTTGGAGAAGTGTCCTTCCTGGGAGGGTTCAAAGACAACCTTCATGTAATGATGGGAAAGTGAACAAGGGAAGGAGAGAGACCCTTAACGGTGGCATCACTGAGCTCCAAAGCTCGCTCTGGTCTACCTTCCTGAAGTTCTTACTCAACAGCTGAAGGGATTTAAAAGCTTTTTGAAAAGACTGGCTCCTTTCCACAGAACTGACAGGCAGGGAGAAACTACAGATGACCCAACTGAAATACAATGAAGTCAGAAACATTTGCCTTGTAGAGACTTATTTGTAAATTGAAGATGGTAGGAGAAAATGGAGAAGGAAATGAGAAATGGAACAGAAGGCGACAGCCTGGCTCCTACAGTACACAAAGACCCATAAGGAAAGACTGAGCCTGACAGAGTGGGTGAGGCAAAACACACGTGCACAACTGCTCCTCCTTGACCTCTGAAGCACAGGAGCAGAGGATGGGCATGCCCTTACCCAGTTCCAGTACAGAAGGATCAGGAGGGAGCTACTCAGACATTTTCTTGATCCAAAGATTTTGTATCTCATTTTTTATGCTTAAGCAAGTCTGTGGCAAATATTATAGAGAAAACAGAATCAGCTGTGTTTCCTGAAAAAATAAAATTAAAAAACTGCATTCAAAATAAGGCAGACACCTTCAGGTGACAGACCATGTGGGGCATTTTCAATACAGAGCTATAAAAACACACATACACACACATTTATGTGATGGCAGACTTCCAAAACAAAATCTAAGAGCCATAATTTCAAGAGATTTCCTTCTTTTTCTACCTCTAGCAAGTAAATAATGATATGAGATCCTTTCAGGGGGAAAAGGGAAGGACAACCATCTCTTTAATCTTCTTAAACAACCCTCAGGCAGGTCCTACCATCTTCAATTTACAAATAAGTCTGGCCGCAGGCTTCCTTCCTGTTACCCAATGAAGGACGCAGGAAGCAAAGATGGGCGTGTGCTGCTCTGCCTTTGAACCCACTGGGAAGCAATTCAAGCTGGGGGCTTTAGACCCAGCAGATACACAAACACATCTTGGTGTCATGATTTTCTTAAAACACATGAAGTGCCACCTTTCAAACCAATGATGATGTCTCTATTCCTGTTTCTAACCTGACCCTCTTTTGGAATTTGCTCTTCAAGAAATGTTAGGGCTTGAAAATGAGGACTCGGAAAGCTAAGAGCCCCAGATTGCAGAGCCCCAGCACAACTTTCTGTGAAACTCCTCATAAATCATTCAGCTTTGCCTTGAAGCCACTGAGCAACTGGGCGTAACTTGGAAGCTGGCGTCTCAAACCCTTGCCCAGTGCCCCCACATGAAGTACCATTTACCCTGAGAACTGTTCAGCTCCACCCAGCAAGTCCACCGTAAATTGGTGTCTCGTTTCTGCCAGGAGGTGGCTCACATCAAAGCTGCGTTAACTTTCAAAAGTCCATTTCCAGCCTGCTTTCACCAAGCCCGCCTGGTAACTGCCTTCCCCTAAAAATCCAGTTCAACTCCAGCAGACCTCCCTCTCAATGACAGCAGAGGAGTAAACAGTGGGTGACAATAGGAGCCAGAAGCACCTCAAGGAACTACTGTCCGGTGTGAGGTGCTGTGTCCGTCCAGCAACTGGAGCCCTGGGAGGCCGGCCCTCGTGCCTGTCCTGTGAGGTTTGAACACACTGACCAGAAGGAAGGGAGTGGCTATATACTGAGCGGTGTCCTAAGCTTTTCTATTTCCATTCATCCTCCCAACATCCTCTGCAGAGTAAAATGAACCTCACCTGAAAGATGGGAGGCCACTGCAGCTCAGGTTATGGGACCTGACTGCGGTCACTGGCTAGAAAGCGGGTGAGGAAGGATTCACATAGGTCGCTGCCTCCCAGAGCTCCCGCTTTTCTCACACTGCAGTCAAAAGCACAATACTGAGATGCTTTCATAAGAAGCCCTCGGAACAGCTATTTCTCCTCGATCACTGTAGGGGTGAGATGGAGGTGGGTGTTAGACCCTCGGTGGGCAGAGCTGAATCACGGCTTGCTGGTCCCAAGCCGGCGTTCAGGGCTGTTCCCGGCATCAGCGCTGTGGGCGGATCAGTGCTGTTCACACACCTGGGCAGGAAAGGTTTCTTTAGGCTGGGAGGATGGAGAGGAGGAAATTAGTGTTTATTAAGAGGTAACAGATCTTAATAATGAAGAGCACGGACTCTGGAGCCAGACTGCCTGGGTTGAAAGCCCATCTCCTGTCTTGCTGCAAAATAATCCAGTGTGTGTGCGCGCGCGCACGAGGGTGCCAGGGTGCGGGGGCAGCAGAGGGGAGGGGAGGGGAGTGGCCATGTGAGGGGGTTTGCTGAAGCTGGGGAAGGGTGCGGGGGTATACTGTCTTACTGTTCTATTTTTGTGTATGCTTGAAACTGCCCATAACGAAAGCATACAAATAAACAAACCTGGGCTCCTCCACTGACTAGTTGTATGACGTCAACAAGCCCCTTGGCCTGCCTCAGTTTCCTCATCTGTGAAATGGAGCTCTAACAGTGCCTGCCTCCTAGAGCTGCATGAGAAAGAAATGAGCTAATATGCGTAAAATGGCACATGCATGTACATGTTACCCGTGTTATGTGTACACGTGTGAAATCGATAAATTACACAGAGTGACGATGTCCCAGGCGCTACTTTCTCCTTCCACCGATTCCTCTCAGCAGTCCTAAGTCAGGACAGCCCCATCTTCACCTGAGGAAGTTGACTCAGAAGGGTTCCAGCAGCAACACCAGCATAAATACCCAGGCTCGCTCCAAAGCCTTGCTTTCTGCTCAAGGCCCACTTCCCTAAAAGGGCCTTGACCACTTAACACAGGCGGGAAAACTGTGGGCTTAGGTAATCCACGGCTCGGAGGCAGGCTGGGAACTGAACACGGGTCAGGCCAAGACACAGCACGTAGGACACAGGCCGGGGCCCTCCCTACTGGGGTGGACAGCCTGTCCTCACACGGGCCTCACGCAGCCACTCGTGGGGCGGGAGCGGGCAGAACTCTGCACCTCACGGCGCTGCGGTCATGGTGAGGAGCAGGGATGGCGCAGACGCCCCCCTCCTCCCTCCCGCCCTGAACGAGCCATTCTTGGGGCAGCAGCCTTCAGGCTTTCCTGGACTGACAAGCACTGAGGCTCCTGAGAGAACCAAATAAGGTGGAGGAAAACAGAAACGTAAGAGGAACTGTGTGCCAGCAGCCTTCGCACTTGGTAAATGCTTTACCAGGGCCACAGGCACTAGAGAGCGCGTGAGGCAGCGTAGGGCCTCCCCTGGAGGTGCACCGAGATCCGTCGGCCCTGCAGCCCTGCCGCCAAGCTTCCGCTGGAGTCCTTCCTTCCAACAGCTGTGTGACTTCTCAGAGACTCACTCCAAGGGGCTCCAAGTCCCCAGGACACGCCTTTGCAATCAGTGAGCGAGGCCTGCAGCACTGAGATGAGATACCACTCCTCTCCCCATAAACACCGCCCCCATCAACAGCAATGACAGGGGAACAGACACCCTCAGAACAGTTTTCCTGAATCTGACTTCCCAAAAGGGGCCACTCCATCAGCCACCGGGACGGCTAACGATGCCCTCAGGACACAAAGAAGCAAGCCTTCCAGCACGCACCGTGCGCCCCAGAGACTCAGCCGGACCATCTTTGCACCCTTTTGGCAGGGACGGAACCAGGCCTGACCTGTACCCCCAGGACCAGTCTGTGCTGCTGTTCGCTGACTTGTGTTAAAAGCACTGTGGTCACATTCCAATTAGAACTCTAATTTTGCTGAAACAGACCAATTAATGCACCCTTCCTGGCCCTCTCAAAAGTCTCTCAAACTTAAAGTGATCTGGTCAAAAAGTACAATTTTACTAGAAGTGATTCACAGCAAGGAGTGAAGTGAGACGGGGAAGGCCCAGGGGACTGGAGGGGAGAGGGACACTGCCTGGCCGGGGGCCCCACAGATAGACAGTGCCCTCCTGCACTCCCCGCAGAGAGAGCAAGGCCACCTCCTGGCAAAACAAGATCAATGTCCAGTTTAAGGCTATTATCTCCTTTATTCAAAAAATAAATATTTCACTTTTGAGTCGACAGTTTTCAAATCACATTAAGCACAGAGAAGAAATTCAGTCCCTTTGGAAATAGTGAACACGGGTAGGAAAGAGTCATGTTCAAAACAACAGGGGTGGGGTGAGCACTGATTCCAACCGATTCGCGACCCAGAGAATCCGCCTCTCACCAGGTGAGCTACGTATCGATTGTAGGAGAGAAAAAGAAACACACACACGGCTTTGAAGTCTGAAAGGCACATGAAGTGGACCGTAAGGTGTATGGCACGCTCACTGATAAAAGGTTCCCTATTCCCTCCCAAGAAACGTGGAGAAACTTTAATCAAGTCACAGACCAGAGAAGACAGGGCGCTCCTGCTCGGAGCTCAGCGTCAGGAAAATCTGCGGATGGAAGCCACTCTGCTGCTCTCCCCTCCCGAGCCTCCTCGCCCGGGGGAGGCCCCTCACTCGGTGACGGTGGGGCGCGTGGCCACGTACACGAACACCACGATCAGGAACACGACCACGGCCAGCGTGGGCAGCACCACCGTGGTGATCTGCTGCCGGGCCTCCTGCATGGCCTGCTTCCGCTCCTTCTTGTCCTTGGACGTCTCCTTCTTGGGCTTCCCCTTGAGCTGCCGCATCTTTCCTGGGGGACGCCTGGAGGGTGCGTCTGGACAGGGCTTTGGAGGAAGGACCACGCTCCTCTGGCTAGGACACAGATGCTCCTGCAGAGAGAACTACGATCAAGAAGGAACGGAGTGAAAGGAAAAGGGAATCACAGACTTAAAGGCAAATGCTAAACCGGGAAGAGTGTCTGCAGCTTAGCAGACCAGGGGTAAGAGCAGGCGAGGCCGCAGCAGCGGTCAGCCCCTCTAAGGGGAGGGCAGTGGGGCCAAGCCGACACGCCCGGGGTTCCAGCTCCGTCAGCGCCTCAGCAGGTGCGCTGTGAACAGGTAACCGGGGTGCTAATGTAAGGCCTCTCAGCTCCACAGGCAACAGGAGAGGCCCCGGGTGCCACATAAACACGATCACTTCCATGACACCAGAGGGCCGGGAAGCACTGACCACGCTGCCTCCATTCGGAGGAGAGGGGCCCATCTCTCCCATCCAAGGCTCCACCTACTTACTTCACTGTTCAAAATGCCACAGTCTCCCCAGCTAAGCTCCGGGGTTGAACCTTGTGGATTCCAGGCACCCTTGTGGCTCCCTTCCTGCCCGAGCCTGGGGCCTGATCACAGGCCAGGTCAGCCTCACTGGGTGGAAGAGAGCCCAGAGGCACTGGCTTCTCTGTCTCCCCACTGGTTTCTTTACCCATCCACCCAAACCTTCCTGAACATCTAATAGTGCCTGGCTCTGCTCCAGAACTGAGGAGGAGGTGGAAGACTCAGGTCTGCCCTCACAGAGCCCACGGTCCAGGGCTGCACGCTGGGCGGCAGGCGGAGTGGAGATCAGGTCAGACAGACCATGCAGGGAGACCGGCTGCGCCTGCGGTCCTGCCACCCACACAACCTGGATCTCGTCACTTCTGTGCCCTGTGGAGGTGCTGGGGTGGGGGAGCAGTGCTGTCAGGGGCCTGGGGAATGAATAAAAGCCCGCGGGTCACTATGCAGCAACAGCTCCATACAAGACTGAGCTTTAAGCAACAGAAACAGACTTTAAACTGAGACGTTTACTCAGAGACCTCTGGCGCCTCACAGGATTCCCTGTGAAGGAAAGAGGACCAGGCTCAGGAAGTAAGCAGGACACAGAGCTGTGCAGCCATTCCCGGAGCCCAACTCACACACACGGGCCTCGAGGAGGCCACGGGCCTCATCGTCACCTGGACGCTACTGCTGGGGCAGGGGGCACCGGGGCCACTACTCCTGCCCCTGGAAACCGGACGGACCTGCTGTCACCGCCCCCGGGACGAATTCCTCAGCACCCAGCTCTTCTGTGTCCCTGTGTGTATGTGGCGAGCCCAGCCTTCCTGTCTTTATCAGCAGCGGGAGTGTCTTCTCAGCACAGTGGAGGAGTGAGGGCAGGACACTGGGCAGGGAGATAAGACAGGCAAATGCCGTCATACTACCCTGGGGGAGGAGCGTGGAGGCAGGAGCTCCACTAACAAAGAGGCTTTTGTAACAAGACACTGCGTACCCAGTTTTGTCCCAGGGCAGAGGTGGCCTGTCCCAACCCTGATGAGGAAGATGACATTTACACCTAAGTCGATGTGTTGAGAGGCAGGATGTGGAATGTGGATTCCGAGTCGGAAAAGGTCTGTGGGAACCCCGTTGTTGGTAGACGGATCCTAATCTCTTACCACTGCTCTCGCCCCAGGTGGAGCCCAGAACCTTTTTCGGATTATCCAGTCACGCAGAGTCTCTCACGGTGCAGGAGGGCTGATAATTTGCACTGGGATGACCGGATGCCAGCCAAAAGCAAACGTTAAAGTTCCAGCGGCCCCGTTTAGGGAAATGTACAACTTCCATCAGGCTTCTCAAAACAGCCACTGTTGTCTTCCTAAGACCTGACAGGTGGAGGAACCCTGGCTTTACAAACGCTCCTTTTCACAACTTTCAGAGAACTTGCAGGCAGACTTGGCTTCAAACTCAGGACGTACCACTCATGGCTGAACGGCTTTGGGCTTCACGGGGCCTCAACCTCCGATTTCTCTCACAAAGTGAGCAACCAAGGATCGGAAAAGAAGACACCTGCCTGCCCGGCCCAGAAAGCACAGGCGGCCCTCCGCCCCCTCCCCACCTGCCCTGCGGCCTGGGCAGGGCTCGCCGAGCGGCTCAGCCTCAGCAGCGCGTGTGTGGGTCTGTGTGTGTGTCTTTGTGTGTCTATGTGTGCATGTGTCTGTGCGTACGGAGAACGGCAGTGCCCCCCTCGCAGGACAGTGGTGAGGACGAGACAAGACTCCGGGGTACGGAGCCTGGCGCAGAGCAGGCACTCAGGCCCATTCGCGGACACTCAGGAAGCCCACCCCAACAGCCTGTGGGAGTAGTACCCCCGCTTCAGAGCTGAGGAGACCAAGGAGCAAGAGGGAAAATGCCTTGCCAGCGGTCACTGTCTGTAAATGTATCTCCCAGAGCAGTGGACTGCACCCCTTGTCCAAAGTTATGAGCCGAGGTCTACTCTCTCCCTGACACAGCTTCATGAAATTGTTTAAAGAGACAAGCCATTAGCAGCACTCTGACTTGTACCCAATGGCCTATCAGGCCTGTGAAAAAAGGAGGATCCTGCCATGGCCCCTCACCTAGCCCCCCGCAGGGCCCTCCACAGAATCCCCCCTCACAGGACCCCCACTCATAGGACCCCCCGCAGGAAGGCAGCACCGGGGGCCCCGGAGTTAACAAGGGCCCCGGCCACTCTGGCTGACAGCGCGGGCCGGACCTTTGCCGCCCCTCTGGCTGTGGTCTACACCCTCCCACACAGGCACCAGCCTCCATGTTGACCAGCTCTTGACACCTGTAAGATGCACTTAAAAGAAGCCCCAGTTACCAGTGGATGGTGCAGGTCTGCTCAGGACTGAAAGGACGAAGACACTGGTCTCAAGTCTGGGTCCTTTGAGCAGCGGCCTCCCTGCTCTCCTCACCCGTGGGGTGGGCCTCAAACGGCCCGCACGCTCCCTCGGGCCCAGGTTGGGGTGGTGGGGAGTGAGGGAGCGAACACATCCCAGAGATGATGACAGAGGGCAGGGAAGAGGGCCCAGCCAGGACGAAAGCTGGGAAGAGCGGCAGACACAGGGAGGGGAGGAGCCAGGAGGGTGACAGGGGCTGACTGAGAGGGGGGCTGACTGAGAGGGCGGCAGAGGCCAGGTCATCCAAGGGCTGGCAGACCATGGAAAGGTGTCGGGTTTCACTCCACGAACAGCACAAGGCACTGAAGGGCTTCACACAGGCAGCCGCAAGTTTTAAAAGCTCCTTCTGGCAGGCCTGTGGGGTAAGAAGGGAGGCTCCTGGAGCAGGCCAGGGAGGGGCGGGGCGGCTCCCACCTGGCTGGGAGGGTCAGCAGTGACGCAGGCGAGGAGGGAGTTGGCTTTCACGGTGGGGGTTCGACAGGACCTAGTGACAGAGCAGACGTGGCGCATAAGGGAGAGAGAAATCATGGAGCCTGAGTAACCAGCTGGGTGGTGACCCTGCCTCAGGTGGTGAGGGAGAAAGGCGGGCAGTGGACATCAGTGCTCTGTTCACACCTGTCCACGTGTGAGGACGCCCAGCAGACGTCGCCATGGAAAAATCAAGGAGGCGGCTCAGGACATGAGCCAAAGCTGGGGCTGGGCTGAAGGTCTGTACTCGGAAGTCATCAGCTATTGGACAAGGTGAGCTCCCCAAGGACAAGGAAGCTGGAGGAAAGAGCCCGGCCCGAGCCCCGCGCACCTGACGGTCAGGGGGCAGGAGGGGGAGGGCAAGAGAAGAGGCCTGCGGAGAGGAGGCGAGTGAAGCAGAGGAGAGCGTGGAGGCCTGCAGACCACGAGCCAAGAAGGGCACGGCCTCAAAACGCCAGGGACAGCGTGAAGATGAAGCAGCACCTGCTGGGCCTGCCGACGTGACATGAGGAACGTGAGGGGAGGGCGCAGACTAGGGCTGCTACCAGCGAGGCCATAAGCTGTCCCTTGCCGAAAACAGAGAGCAGCTGTGCCAGACTGTAAATGAACACACTGCTTCCTTCATCGAGAAAGCTTCTCCATGAAGGAAATGTCGGCTGAACTGAAAAGGGCACAGTGCACAGCTGATCGACATCCCGGCGCAAACTCCCCGATATGGTGATGACCTGTGATAGGTAACTCCCGGGCCAGCACTCTTACCCACTTTGGGGCCATGTCATTGCTTACCAGCTCCTCTCGGAGACGAAACCAAAGACGCGGCCCCCGAGGAGCGGTCTGGCTCCTTCCCGGCGCGCAGCCCAGGCAGGATGGACAAGCCACTAGCTGAGTTCCAGCTTTATGGCCCGACTGTGACCACCACCTGGCCACCCCGCTGCCTCCAGCTCCCCTAACCAAGGGAACGGCAGACGTCACAAACACTCGAGTTCCACCAACGCCCCCTCCCCCACCAGCAAGCCCCTGACAACTGGTCAGAACTGGAACATCCCAACTGGTCCTGCTGTGTCTGGGCGGGGGGGTGGGAAGCAGAGAGGTGGGTGGGGAAACATCCTTGTGGATAGAATCACTTTAGGTTTGATTTTTCTCTGAGCTTTCGAATCTTTTTTCTGTATATGTGTATGTATATATATATATACACACATGCACACACATGCTTATTAAAATCTTTATATGTATTTCTTCCAACCAAGAGGTCATAATGTACGGTGTTAGACCCCACGAGGGAAACAGCCAGGCGCAGAGGTAAGAACATGGGTCTGAAACCAAGTTTGAGCCACAGCTCTGCCACGTCCAGTTATTTGACTTTGGGCAGGGTACTTCGTCTCTCAGGCCTTAACTTTCCTTCTCTGTAAAATGGGATAAGAAAGCTTCCTTTGTAGAGTTATTGAAAAATAATGACAAAGACTGAAGTATGATCTTAGCAGGCCACGCCAGGTGCTCAATAAACGGTACATGGTAACTCGCTCTCCAGGGATGTCTGTCCAGCGTGGACACACATTAAAGGGGGAAATACCAAGGAGTTCTGCTCTGTTTGGTTTTGTACCATAGAACCTGTCTCCTGTCGAAAACCACCAGGCACCAGTCTGCTGCTGGGCAGGTTTGCCCAGAGGTTTGATGGGCGGAGAAGGCTGGCTCAGGCAACTGAGGGACAACTCAGAGAATACAGTCAGTCCCAGCTCCCATATCCAAGAGGGGCTAAATCTGCCCTGCCCAACACAGCAGACACTACTCATGGATGGCTCCAGCACTGGAAACGTGGCTATGGTCCAAACGGAGCTGTACTGCAGTGTGAGACACTGGGCCCAAGCAAGTTGGGGGTGGGGGGTGGGGTGAGGGCACCATGCAGGGGCGCAGTGGGTGCAGCACCGAGCAGCAGTGCAGTGTGTGAGTCCGCGCTTCGGGGAGATGGCTGGGCTGAGATGGGGCATGGCAGCTGTCGCCACTGTAAGCCTAGAGGCGGGGTGGGGCAAAGCACAGAGAAGGGCTTTTGCCCTTCTGAAGAGTTAAAGAGGAAGCAGTAAAAGAGACTAAAAAGGTGTGAGAGGAAGAAAACGGGAAGAGCGTGTATCTTGGAAGGCAAGGTCAGAAAGTGTTCCAGGAAGCAGGAGCCACCCACAGGGTTTGGTTGCACGGAGGGGATGGGTGATTTGAGAGGACAGTCTTGGTGGGGAGGTGGGGAGGGGGCCCGAATCTGAGCAGGTCCCTAAGAGGGAGGGGGTGGTCTAGAGGATGGAGACCACCAGTCGGCAACGCTTCTCAAGGCAGGACTCGGGGGCTGCCTGTCTCTGCTGCAGTTCCAGTTCTGCCGCTTATCAGCCCTGTGACCTCCGGCAAGTTAACTTTCTTTCTGTGCCTCAGATTTCTCATCTGAAAAATGGGGATCATAATCCCCTAATGAATTGATACAGTAGAGTAATGCCTCGTCCACACTGAATACTAAGTGTCTGTATTACCACCATCATCATCACTACGATAATAGGGTCAGGATCAGAAGGGGATATGAGGACAAGAGTTTTGTTCATTTTTTGTTTGTTTTTTAAGGCAATTATAGAATGTTTGTGTTTTAGGGAGAAATGGACCAGGAGAAGGAAGGAAAAAGAATTGATGGTGAGCTACCCCCTGGGGGCTGGGGGAGCTGGAGCAGGCTCTGAGGCACCAGCGGGACTGGCCCTGGACAGGACCCCTTGTGACGGTGGGAGTCTGGTTGGGTCTGGTTGTTTAACCCAGAAGACCCACCGCCCTTCTTCATACACGAGTTAAAGCTAAACTCACCAGCAACCTCAAGCGCAGCAGTTTGCTCTCACCAGTTGACCTGAAGCAAACAACCCTGGGAAGGACAAGGGAGGCAATTAAACAGAAAAGAAGTAACCTGAAACTCCTGTAAGAGGGTCCAAAACTATGGCTTTTGAAACAGTTAAGACACACAGAAAAAACACAACGAACAGCGGCATACACCGCACAAGCTAAAACCAAAGTTTTACACGATGCTGTGTAAGCTTCTTACGTGCAACACACTCTGCTATATTCTATTTTGTTTCATTTCATTAGGGGGAAAAAGCCAGTTCAATTCACTAAAAGAAGCGACTCCCGGTGGGAAAAAACACTGGACGGAGAAGACCTCCCCACAGGGAGGGCTAGTGAATGTTTCAACCCCGTTCCCAGGAGAAGTCAAGGAAATGCCCGGAGTCTTTTCTACCTTGATGAATAACAGGCCCTCGTGAGCGTGAAGAGGAAGTACAGATGTGAAGGCCCTCGGAAAAGCTACAAGCTCTTCTAAGTACTGTCACTCCTTAAACAGCAGTTCTTCATCCAAACCCGCAGGTTCCTTCAACTTCATCTGCTATTCAGTGAGGTACTTTAAGACAGCAGGTACTGAAAGCAAGCATCACTAACGTGTCACTTTGTTACTGACAGCTCAACTCTGTGGCAGCTCAAGACTAAGGAAAGGCTGGGGGAAAATTCCTGAAGACACACAAGCCAGCCAGCTGCATGTACTGTTTTATTTAAGGCAGTGCTTGTCTATCTCAAATATGGCAGAGTTGAGTGGACATGTATTCCTAGAGGCCAGATCTGGGGCAAAGCCACTGCCAGAATTTTAACTGTCTCCTCCTTTGTTTTAAACGGTCAAGCACTCGTAGGTAACATGACCGCTTGCTGTTCACTCCTGCTGTGCACGGCACTGTGGTCAGAGGCTGCCTTGGCTCCCACCAAATGCTGACAACAGCCCCACGCCAGAGGCTCTACTGCGTCCCAGGCGCCCGTCTCAGAAATGAGAAATGGGGTTTTGAGGGGTTATGCAACTTGCCCAGGACCACAAAGCACGTAAGTGGTGGGACAGAGTCAAACCCACACGGACTGGTTCCAGGACCTGCATGTAACCACCATGCTATGCTGAACTCTCCTCCAACAGACAGCCGTATTTGTCTTCATATTCTTTACCTGTTATTCACCCCAAATCCTTGTGAAACGTGACCCCCGCTCACCCTGGTCTCTGCCCACATGCTGAGGAGCACCCTGGGCGTGGAGAACCATAGGTCCGCAGGATCGCCTCTGCCCTCCTCGTGCTCCTGTGCCAGGCGTGGGCTGCCAGCCCCTTCTCCCCTAGATGCCTAACACCGCCCTCATGTTAGCTTCGTCGTTAACTTCACTGACAACCAAGATATCACAAGCGCCAGTTGTTTACGGCCCCTTAAAAACGAAAAGTTCATCTCTCAGCTAAATTACAGCAAGTTAATTACAGCGCCCGGCTGATAGCAGACAGACAGAGAGCGAGCGAGGGGCTGAGTGCACCATCAAACACAAACAGCAGCCGTGACCAAACGCAGCCAAGACTGCACGTCTGGGCCTTCCTCAAACACAGAAACCGGGGCTCAGCCCACCAGGAGGCCAGCCTCAGAGAGACGGGCAAACCCTCTCACCCAGTCACTTTTTCAGCAGACCCCTGGCTGAGCACCTAAGTGCTGGGGGCTAGCTAATCACACACAGAGCCACTCACTCACCGGGTTCAGTCCAACGCTTACAGGGCACCTACCTCCCAGCCCACCAGGCACTGCTCAACTGTGAATGTACAGACTGATGCACTGACAGATCCACCTGAGCAGTCACTGATTCCCCAAATACAGGGCAGCCTCGATGTGCTAGGCCCTGTCCTGGCAGAGGGGATGGATAATGAGCAAAATAAAGTTCCTGCTGTGACGGAACGCATATTCTAGGAAAGGGAGACAGACAAGAGGCAAATGACATACAGTGTGTCAAGGAGCGAAGTGCTATGAAGACAAAGCAGCGGGAGGGGACTAGGAGGAGGGGCTGTGCTGTGCTACAGAGAGTACAGGGGGCAGCATCTCTGCTCAGAGCACACGCCTAAGAAAAAGTGGGCGAGAGCCTGGCACAGAGCCGGGGGAGGAGGGGCAGGAGCAAACCTGAAACCAGCGTGCCTTTGGGCGAGAAGATCAACCTAAAACGGCCGCTACAGACACACTGGCCAACATCTTGGAGGCCATCCTGAGCGCTTCACTGCAGGCCTTCCTGCTGCCAGAGGGTCGCTGTGGGGTAGAAGAAGGAGAACGGCCCCATCAGACGATGAACTCAGGCTGCCGGAGCGGAGTTCGCACTAACTAAGTGATGAGTATTTGATCTTTAATTTGAAAGTCACCTTTTTGGCTGAACCTTAAGCTGGTTCACCAAACTGAACAGCCGATGAGGACAGTTTGGGCAAACGGCAGAGAGCAAGAGGCTTTCGGGTGCTGACAACCGAGTCTGCTGATTTTGCCTGTGGTCTATCCGCGGGCTCCACCGAGTGTTCCGTGTCAGCAACGGGCCTGCCCGCGCTGACCACATGGGGCCGCAGCCACCGCCGGCACCCACGTCACCTCAGCGAGGGAGGGTCTCCGGGTCACCTTCGACCCTGCCTTCCCTCGTGGAGGCTGATCATTCTCCTTCTGCACTGACTCTAGACTCCATGGCCCACCCATCTCCAAATGAAACCCCCTGCTGCACAGACACCCAGAGCCTGCGTGTTCCCCCTGCCCTCTCCCCACACATCTTCCTGCCTCCAACCTCCTAATTCCTCAGTCTCCAGACAGAATGATTTCATTGAAACCAAGGTCTGATCTTAGTTCTCTAACTAATAAGCCTTCGGTGGCCCCGGCGCCAACAAGACACAGTGTGGACTCGGCCCGGCCTTCCGGGCTCTGTGTGCAGAGCCCAGCCCCGTCCCCAACGCCATGTCGAGCAGCCGTCCTCCCGTCCCGCTGTGCGTGGTCTCCTTGGCCTGCTTCACACACTGGCCACTGAGAAAACCCGCCTGGTCCCCTCAGTCAAAACTGAGTGCCCTTTGGCCTTTCTTATACCTTTAAAACACCCCTTCATTTGTCCCACCCTTCTTTCTTTTTAAAGAGTTAATCATTTTTGTCCACTTCCCTCAACCAGGGGCTCAGTAAGTATTTCCTGAATGATCCAAGTCCGTCCCTCTTACTAATGTTGCCCAAACCAGAAGTTTGGGGGTCTTCATGGATGCCTCCCCACCATTCCCTGTATCAAACTGTCCCCTAAATCCTACCAGTCCCATTTCTTAAATATCTCTCAACATGTCCTCCTGCTCCACCCTCACTACCGCCAGGTCAGGCCCTCGTCTTGCTCATGCAGATTTATGCAACAGCCTAACCTCAGTTTCCCTGCCTGAACTTGCCCCTTTCTCAAGCCCTAAACAGCACAAACATTTCTAAATCCCCCCCGAAAATCACTGCCCGTGGATGGGTGTGGACCCATCCCACACTTCCCCTTACCAGCAAAACATACTCAGTAGTAGCTGCGAAGAATCACCGTAGCAGCAAACGCAGGGCATGTACACGTCTTCTTCAGCAAAGGGGTACGGACGAGTCATTTAAACCTCATCCATGTTTTAAAGCCTCGTTGTTGGAAACTCGTCAGACAGAAGACGTCCCTGGCGTAAATACACACCACCCACACTTCAAGGTTAACACTGACCAAACGGTGCTAAACTAACAAAAGCCAAGCTCACAGTAATTGATAATTAAACATCTGGACTCCTGCAATTACAAAGTGTCACAAACTCAAGATGGTGGTGACACTGCACTGCTGGAGTGCAGTTCCCCAAATCCATGGGAAATCCAACAGCCTGTGTTAAGTCCGTGCTCCATGGGAACCTGAAACACACCAGACTCCCAGTGGAGGACAAGACAGAGTCATCCAGAAACTCCCTGCAGGGCAGTAGCTATCCCTCGGGATCCGCAGGGGGTTGGTTCCGGGATCCTGCCTCCCCTGGGTACCTCATATAAGGCGTAGTGTTTGCATACAACCAATGACACATCCTCCCGTACACTTTAAATCATCTCTCGATCACCTGTAACACCAAATATGATGTAAATGCTACGTGAAGAGTTGCTGGCATGTGGCAGACTCAACTTTTGCTTTTTTTGGAAACTTCTGGAAATTTCCTTTTTTCAGATTATTTTCAATCGGCAGTTGGCTGAATCCACTGATGCAGAACCCGAGGAAAGGGAAGGCGGACTGTAATTTAACACCAACCGCATGTCAGCAACTTTTAATAACAGCCTTGTGACTTCCGGGAGAGAGCCTGCGGTCATCCTTAAACTTGGAAGTCTGTGGAATTCTGGGTCCCATGCCCATGGGAACTGATGAACGGGCTGGCGTGTCTGAATCGGATCACCAGCAGTCGGGAGAAGACGTGGAAGGAGAGCCCACAGCATCCCTACTGTACAATCAAACCTGATCCAGTGTCTCCCCAGTGTAAAGGCCCACGGGACGTTCCGCTTTAGGATCTGACCTCTGCCCACCGTTCAGTGCCCAGCCCAGCCACGCCTCCAACTGCAGTGGCCACAGCGGTCCTCCGCGCAGACCTCTGGGCATGCCATGCCCATGCTGGCCTCCCGGGCCTCCACCCATGCAGCCATCAGAAACACCCTTTTCCACCTCTTTCCACCCATCACTCCTTCTGCTTCGCAAACTCTGCCTTCAAGACTCATGGGTCTTGAAGGTCAAGGGTCACATACTCTTGAAAGCATTTCACGACTTTCCAGTCCCCAAGGTGAGTGAGCGGTTCATGTCTGTGCTCCCATGATACCCAGTAACAACCTCCACCACAGTGCCAACCACACTGGACTAAGAGCCCCTCATCTGCTATTCCCATTACAAACTTTGCTCTCCAGGCGCCTGGATGTCTGCCACGGTGCCAGCCAGGGGTGGGGCTGGGGTGGGGCGCACCACATGAGGAGCCCATGGGGCCAAACTCGCCCAGGACGTGTGCAGGTGCTTCTACGATGCCCTTCGGTAGTAAAGCTTGGGGCTAAGAAAACAGTCATGTAAACAATAAAATGGTGTTTGCATCACATCACAGTGGGAAGTAAAGTACATAACCTGATATTTTCTTCAATTACCAGCATCTTAACACGTTTGCTGATTTCCTGACATGGATGTTTTCAAGAAGTCCCAGTAGAAGAACTTGGAATCTAGTCCTGTGCCCTGGCAGCTACACCACTGGGAGCACTGCCCTTTTGGGGGGATTCCAATCTCCCCCAGGAAAATGTTAATCTGAGGTGGTATCAGATGCAGAGGAAGGTCTCTCTCTCAACAAAAAGACTAGAGAAGATGGCCTATTTTAGGAAAACAATGACTCACAGAAATTACATCCGCTCTTAAGTTAATAAGCCTCCTTCTGGAGTTGAACCTGGCTTCTTATCGTGATGGGCCTATTTTGCAGCTCCACCATCAAAGAACAAATCAGAATGTCATTCGACAATCTGCTTTCTAATTAAAAGTTGAGCCATTTTTTAAAAAATCACATTTAACTAAACAATTCCACATGGCAGTAAAGCACTGTGCTCTGCCGCCTTGACTGACGGGACCATTTGCAATTATCTAAAGGAGAAGGCAGGGGAAGGAAATTGTTAGATGCAGCTAGACTGAGCTGCTCAAACCCCTGTTAGTGTCTTCCAGCTCACTCACAGAGGAAGACAGTGCAGCATTCACGTAAACTAATTAAATTTCCTGCATTTAAATAAGCCCTAACAGAAATAAAACTTCCAAGACTGATTGGAAGGTCTCGGGAAGAAGATACCGACTTGTTCAAGGAAGCAGCCTAGCTGGGAGTGGGAGAAACAGCAGAGTCAGACCCTATCTCCCCAGAGCAGGTCACGGCTCCCCCCAGCCCCACCGCTGAGAGAAGCACTGGGAGTGGGTGAGAGATGGAGCCCCCAGGTTGTGTGACGGCAGCAGAGGCTTCCAAGGGGAATGACCGAGATGATGCAGGGGAGGGAACAGGACACCATCCACACTGGGGATGCGGACCCACCCAAGACACCTAACTGCTCTGAGCCTGTTTCCTGAAAGGTGAAGTTACCATTTGCCCCCGCCTGCTTCCTGGGACTGGTGGGAGAAGAAACTCTGGTGCTGTGTGTAGAAGCACCCTCTGAAAGGGGAAAAACTCCTTAAATACAAGAGGCAAATGCTGGTTACTGTCAGGTAGCGAAGGCTGGGACGAGTCCTCTTGAGTAGAGGACAGTGCCCAACACAACTGGTAAAATTAGTAAGGAACTAATTCAGGATATTCAGCAGATGTAGTAAAAATAGGTGAGAAAAGGAATCTGTCGACTCATTCATTTAACGCAAAAAGCAGGGAGGTGGCTTCAGATGCAACTGTCTGTCAACTGAGGTAGCCTGGAAGATCGTGTGGATGGATAGCTGGATGGAGGAGGCAGTGTGCCATCCAGCAGACAGGAGGGGCCACGGCCACAGGCATGACCAAACCCCACCTCGTGCAGCCCCATTCAACATCAGCCCCAGAGAGGTGCAAACAGGCTGGGGAGCCGTGCTCTCACCATCACTGGTTTCCCCAACTGCCTGTCACCTCCCTCCCCCTCCAGTTTCTGGAGTACCACTTTTAACATGGGCCCAAATTGCCCATGAAAAAGAAAAATCAGATACAAAACCTTTGCTATTAGCTTCATTTCACCAACAGCCAAAACACAAAGGACCACGAGAGAAGATTAGCAATGTCCAATGAATGCTCAAAGAACAGAACTGATACGAGAAAGCTTTATAGTCCCGGCCCTCCACAGGGGGAGCGGTGGAGGTACACAGCGAGTCCACACAGGAGCTGGCCGCCTAGAGCAGGTCAAGTCCTTGTTCATTCAATAAATGTGTGTGAAGCATCTACTACGTTCCCGGCACAATTCAGATACGTCCTCGAAGAGGTGACAGGGGAAAACATGCAAACAGGCAATTCTAATCAGGTGTGGAAATGCTACAATGGGCAGGGGGGTGTCACAGAGAAGGAGCCCCTACCTTCAACACAGCTGGGGGAGAACAGGCAGAGGGGCACGAACGATAATGTAAGCCCACCAGGATACACGTCACTAAGAAGGAGATGGCACTGTGGGGGCTTCAAAAGCAGGAGAAGCCACTGCCAGCTGGGAGAGAAGGGAAAAGGCTTCATTTCCAAGGAGGCAGCACTGGATAGAGGCCTTGAGGGAGCACTAGGACTTTGGCCAGGCAGAGGGGGTGGAATACTACACACAGAACTGGGTGTGCTGGAGGAAAGACAGGGATGGTAATCCCTCCAAACACGGGTTTCCTCTTAAGAGAATTTCGGCAGACGCAAGTTCCCTTCTGTTTACCTTTTCTTCAACTTCAAGAGCTGCTGCTTCAATAGCTTCAGCAAACTGATTTCCAGGAAAGGCGACTTGGGTTATTCCTGTTGAGAAACCAGAAGAAGAGGTGTGACTGGTATGGCGGGGCTGCCCTTCCACAGACCTCTTTGTTGTGACATCCACCCCAAGTCCATGGCTGGTTTGCGGATGGACGCTGGTCACCATCAGACATACTGCCCCACTCCCCTACTCCCTTCTTTTCTCATTTGAGAATAAAGACATGCAAAGTTAGGCAGGCCACGGTGAGCCCTGATCCAGAGAAACTGACACACAGACACACACCTGAGAGCGCAGGACCATGCAGCCTCCGAGTCCGAGGGCCCTTCCCACTCCAGCTCCCAGCAGCTGATCGAGCTCTGCTCCCACTATTCCCAAGATTCCCACACCAGACCCTCTGTAACTCAAGCTAGTGTGAGAGCATTTGTTTCTTGCAACCAAAAATCACTTATTTAAAAATAAGATATCCAGGGTTGGGTCTAGAAAAACAAACACAAGTAGAGGGTAAAGAAATAAAGGCTTCTGAAACAAAGCCTCAAGAAAAATAAAAGACGAGAGAAAGTGACCTGGGCCTCTGAACTACGG